CCCCCCCGGCCCCCCGCCCCCGCCGCCGTTCAGGCCTTACCTTGGACCACCGCGCTTCTGGCGCCTAGGGGCGGGGTGGTCGCGGTCGGTCGCTCGTTCCCGGGCACCCTTCCGTTATAAAATACAAGGTACGCTCCATTATAAAATACGTGTTCCGTTATAAATTACGTGCTTTGTTCGTAGTTCAAGACAAAAGGAGGCCAACTTCGGGAAAGGCTCATAACCAGAGATGGCTCTTAGACTGGCAACCTGCAACTCCCAGTTCTTCTCCATGTGCCGCAGGCGACGCCACCATGTTGAAACGACTCCTCCAACGCGTTCGCAGGCTGCAGTAAATAGAACCGTAGAATCGTTTAGGTTGGAAAAGACCTTTAAGATCTTCAAAATAGACTATGGGCTGCTATTTCTGATACCGCACTGTGTAAGTTGACCGCTTCCACTTGATAGAAATGTACTGGTCACATCGTGACTGAACAGGTGAGCAAAAGATGTATGTTTTTCTTACCTGAGCTTTAGGAAATTGATATTTAAACTGTGCTCTGCGTGGTAGCATAAGCTACGAGCCCTCAGACTGTCAAAATGAGACCCAAGAGGGTAGGCTTTTTTCCACACAATAACATGACAGGTGCCTGTCAAAAAAGGTACAGCAATTCAGGGAAATCTCCAGATTGTTTTGCACTGGGCAAGCCACCAGCAACAAAGCAGAAGGTGAAGAGAGATGTCACAAGGACCAAGACAGCATTTTGCCAAAACGTCCCCCAAAGAGAGATGACACAGCAGGGAGACTCTCAGGTTTCCACCAGTACCTAAATAAGGTGATGGAGCATATGGTCTGGGCATTTGTCCTGTGGCTATGCCACATGTATAAGAAATTTCACCAGAGCAGCCAGCACTGCAGTACAACACACGTGTTCTGTCACACTGAGATCTGAACACAAACCAGTCCCTCCTAAAGGCAGAAAAGATAGGGGCGCAAGTCATCACTGCAGTCAATACATCTTCAAGTAAGCTAGCAGAGGAAAATAATACCACACAAAGAAGTCAGGATTGTTTCTCCAGGGAAAAGAGAATTCCTCCAGTGACCAGAACTTCAAAAAAGAAACAGATGGGGGGAGGGAGAGCTTGAAAGCAGGACGAGACGCTGTGCAGGCAGGGAATTCGAATGTACTGAGGAACACACTGCTGCACAGGAACTGCACAGAACCGAAGATCTTTGAGATACCTTGTCTGTATGCACATTTCACTAGTGCCAGAGATCCCAGCACTGCCAATAAATTGGGGGGGAGAGCTCTGGCAAGCCTGGTTCATGCAGAATGAGCAGAGTGGCTATGTCATGGGTTGATGGACCTCATCTGTGCAAGATCTTTGTTAAAAACGGTGCTCTGAAATACAGTTCGGGTTTGGAGAGCAGAGCCACATTTCTGAATAAGGCAGCTTTTGGTGAGGGCTAAAAATGTTAGTCTAGATTGTACTTTAGTATCAGATTACCTGTGAACAGTGAGTAAGAAGGTATTGAGTAGGAAATAAAAAGTTAATTTTTTGTGGGGCACCTGTTCTGTAACTACCTCCCATCTTAAAAATTGAGGATTTATTCCTGGATTTGATCACAGCAAGTGTTTTCTGCGATAAAGAGACAGTGTTCAGCTTATTAGCACCCCAGCATCTGCTTGGATCCAAATTTGTGCTCATAGACTTACTTGGGAACAGATATAAAAGGTGAAAGACTTTGTAATAAAGCTATTTCAAGCACCCGTTGTTTTACTGTCATAGCATGAGCATTGGAATACATTTTGGATTCAGAAAACCCTCTCCTGTCTTGCATCCCTTCTAAGAGATTATTAATGGACATCCAAAATAAAATTCATTAAAGACTGAGTCAAACCAGATTTTCCATGGCAAACTATCGAATAATTTTGAATCGCGGGGGGAGGGGGGGGAAGGCTTTCTGCTACTGTGAAGAGGCTGTGCCACAAGGTAAGTAAAAGGAACAGAATCCAGATGGCAAGTTTTACCTCCTATGGCTGTGATGTAGCATACGGACGCTGCTGGCCCAAGATCTCTGAACACTGATCAAAGTGGGTTGAACATATGGACACTCGCTTACAGTACAGCTCTGTGAGACCTAAGGTGCTGCCTACACATCAAAGGCAACAGCTTAATGCTGCATAGGGTGTTGACAGTCTCTCTCAACACCCTCTGTTAACAATAAAATGTGTGACCCTTTAAATGTTTAAAAATCCTTACAAGTTTGACATGTGCTTTAAAATTCATCTCAGTGAAATACCTACGTAAATTGAAGATAGCCACTTCATTAATGCAGGAATAAATAATTTAGAAATAACTGGTTTAATATTTTAGACCTCAAGTCATCATTTTGAAGTAGCAGTTAGTCACTCTATGCGTTTGGTTAATGACTATCTCTAATTAGCTATTCTGAAAACGAGAAGAATTGAAGTTGCGTAAAGAATAATGGAAATAGTTTCTATCAAATTGTTTCCTCCCTCCACATTTGTTATCAATATTCTGAAATACTTAAAAGCAAATGTAAGCAGTCCTGATGACTTATAAACTTCTAACCCTGTGCTACAATAAAATTTAGTTTGTGTATTATTAACCTAGTTTACAGGCATTTAAAAATGTCAACATGTTTCTCTTCAGGTTTGCTATCAGAGAAACAGAACATGAATAGATATCTACTGAACAGAGTAAGCTGATGAATGCCACGGAATATGCAAGCAAGGGTCAATAAATAATGAAAGGTTTTTGCTGGAGGTACTGACAAACATAGCTGGGAAATTTGTAGGAATTAAGATCACTTACAGATAAGATAATTCAGTAGCATGTGATGCCACTGGTGCTTAAGTGATAAGATTTCATAATGTATGTAATGGGAGGCTTTTTTCATTAACTTGGGCCTCATTTTAATAACCTAAATGATATTTTTAAACAGATACAAATGCACATGTGCATCATCCCAGACAAACTGAGATTTTGAGAAAGTATTTTCTAAAAGGTTTTTAAGAAAACAAACTGGGAACTTAAATTTTATGCAGTCATTTTTATAAATAGACTTCTTGTAGAGGTTCCTAAAATTACTCTGCTTCTGCATTCCCACGCACAAAGGCTGCAACAGCAGTGATTACCCCCAGAATACATACCTGCACCACAGGAGGCACTTGGTCACTTAGGCAACTTGCACACATCACAGACATGATGCAGTTTGGAAACCTCTGCATTAGCAAATATTTTCAATTAGAATTTAGATCTATCTAGCCAGCCTCTTTAAATGACTGTGTTAATGAAAAAGAAGTATTTTGCAGTTACTTGGAAAAACAGACAACTGTGCAATATGTTAGGCATGTTACTGGATGCCAAAGGATACTGATGTTTCACTACACTGATTACAAGAACCTCTACATCTTTGTGCCATGTTTCTGTATTTTTAAAAATATTTTATTAAAAACAGATCAACAAACTTCAGTGATGCTAACAGTGGATAAGCAGCTTGTTAAGAGCCATCTCAGTGCGTTTCAGTGGAGTATCTGTCTGTCCATCCATTCATCCCAAAGGTTCTTTAATGTGGAACCACTCAGCACTTTTTCTTCTTTACACACAATTGTGAGACAATGCTCGGATATCTTAATTATATCATGGTTACTACGGTGAGATTCAAAAATTATTTATGTAGATGAGGAATGTATTGGGTCTGGCTTTGTGGGGCAAGGTTTTGGTAGCGGGGGGCAGTTACAGGGGTGGCTTCTGGGAGAAGCTGCTGGAAGCTTCCCCTGTGTCCGAGAGAGCCAACGCCAGCCAGCCCTGAGACGGACCGGCCAAGGCTGAGTCAATCAGCGATAGTGGTAGCGCCTCTGTGATAACATTTTTAAGAAGGAAAAAAAAGTTGCTGGGACAGGCAGAAATGGCAGCCGGAGAGAGGAGTGAGAACATGTGAGAGAAACAACCCTGCAGACCCCCAGGTCAGTGAAGAAGGAGGGGGAGGAGGTGCTCCAGGCGCCAGGGCAGAGATTCCCCTGCAGCCCGTGGGGAAGACCATGGTGAGGCAGGCTGTCCCCCTGCAGCCCAGGGAGGGCCACGGTGGAGCAGATCTCC